TGTACAATGTATAAGGGCTGCGCATTATTGTGTGTGAGCTCGCTTTCGGTGTCGAGCTCGGAACTGTACCTGGCTCTGATAAAAATGCAATGGCGTTAATAAAGAAAGTTGCGAAACAACACGTCTCGATTTGCTTTTCTTAGCATAAACATGCGATATTTCTTTTGAAATATTAATTATAGAACTATTCTTCGTTACAGTTTCTGTAATCTTTGAATTTTGTTGCGGAAGATGTTTTTCTATAAAGAAGATGTACAAAGGTCCCTTTGAAAACTGCTTCTAAAAAATTTATTCCTGTGGAGTATGTTTAGTAAAAGGACAAATAATTCAAACGAAAATATGTTTGACTTTCAATAGCAATTAAGCATTTGTTCAATGTATGATCGCATTTTGTCTATTTATATGTATATACTTGGACATCTACCCACATACTTTCTATCATACTAGAGATTAATATGGAAATTAATAGACAAATTTTCTTAATAGAAATTAAAATTAGCTTATGACCAGTACTTTTCATCTTTTCAAGTTCACAAAACAATCCAGAAACTAATCATATTCAGCTGACACCAAATAAAGTAAGTTTCAACTTCTGAATTCAGTTGCATCCAATTATTTAAGCGTTAGCTTAAAGTTTTAAGCTGCAATATTTAGTAAACTTTATAAGTATGTACGTATTCTCTAACCAAGAATTGTTTTTGATTTGTGGCAATTGTGTAACAGAGCGATACAAGAAAGTATATCCCAATGTTTCTAAGTTTGAATTATTTCTTTGAATATTTACATATACTAACTTGTAGGGACAACATCTGATTGTTTCCCAAATAATCGCAATGACTGTTTATACGGGGCGAAGTTGGAGTACGGTTTGCTAACTTCATTTGCGTTGCCATCCGAATCCTAACCAGCGACCTGAAACTTTACATGCATGAAGTGCAGTAATAAACAGTTTCTGTAAAGTTTCGCTGGTTTAGATGATACTGGCCGGACAACGAGACTGGGTTAGCAAAGCAGGTACGAGAAAATGACTTGTTCAAATCGACGTTTGTGGAACGAAGGTATGATGAAAATAGTACTTGTGCCATTCTTAATGTCTTATGTGTCACAATGCTATATCTAGATGTTGCATTTCCATACTTAATAGCATACTTGCGCTGGCAATTATCTTCAAATATATTATACATATTAATCTAGAATCATTATTATCACTACGGTAAATGATTTTTCACATTCTATCAACTAATATCGACAAATAAATAATTTATTATATTAATTGACGAAAGCGATTGAAGAAGCGATCTTGATGCTTGACGTTTAATGTTATGAAATAATAATTAGCGTGAGTGATTTTGGAAAATATATGATTTTTAAAAATCGGTGAATTATTTCTTTTGAACAATGAAATACAATGCTTTCCATTTTCTGGCTAAATTTTTCCTACTAAAATTATTTGACCAGTGTTTATTTATTTTATGCAAGTATCTTTTAATTCGTAAAAGATTTTAATTAAGAGTATCGTTGTATCGTTCGATGTCCATTGAAGTTACCATCAGCGAGTGTTTGTCGGGTGCTATTTGAAACTCTGACCTTACTTTTGCAGTCATAAGTAGTATCGTACTGTTACTATTTTTTTTTTCGATTAACTATCTGGGAATAGTTATGTAAATAGATAAAAATAATAGAGCACTAAGTAGCATCTTTTATTACTTCAAAAGATTTATATGACATATTTATCGATATGAAGATAAACAATAGATATCGATTGTAAATAGATTATCAATTAATAAATGTAAATTTGTTAAACACTTTATTTTTTAAGGAAAATCACCGACTTTTTACCATAGAATCTTGACGCGAATACAATGCGAAATAGAATGGACGAAAATAGAAAATATTTGGTCAGTATAGAAATCAGGATTTGACTTCATATTCGTATTAAGTAATTTTTTTGTTTTTATGAGTTTCTATAATTTTTGTGAAGGTATCCATTCCCGTGACTCATCACTTCGATTTTTATGCAATCATTCTAACTACATTGTTCAGAGTAATTAGACAATTTCGCATTTGAAAGTAAAGTAAACAGTAAACTTTGAAAGATGGGCAAAACTGCAAAAAATATTTTCTTTGTTCTGTCTTATGCCTTTTAACATAATTTAGGTGCAATTATCTTACCAATTATTATCAAATTATTGCGTATACAAATGATCATATCCATACTAAATTTTGCATAGTAGACAATTTCGCGTTTGACAGTAAAATAAATATCAGGTTTTGAAGGATAAGCAACATTGTGAAAGATATTTTTTTCGCTCTGTAATTATATTTTTTTAGAAGAATTTAAGTGAAATGGGTTTACCAATTATCAAATCTTTCCGTATATTTGTTATCATATCAGTTGGACCAAAGATACATTTTGCATAGTAGAAGCTAGTTTTAATACATCGAGTACCTCGTTTAGATAGGACTAAATTTATTGTTCTTGTTAAAAAGGATTAAATGCTATTCTTGCGGTATTATTATCGTTTATACAAGTAACAACAATGATGTAAAGCAAAATTTTGTGGAAAATCTCTAGTATAGTATAGTAATTAAAAATAGATTGCGGTTATTTATTCAGATAGCCAAATCTATTTTAGCAGATTTTGTCGGATACTTGTACAAAAAGCCTGTAGATTTGATACAAGATTTGTTATATTCGTTTATGTTTGTAGAATGTCAGCAGAGATATAACAAAATCTGCTGGGGCAGATTTGTCACAGAAATCGAATAAATTCTGTCCGTTAACCTAACAGTTAATGGTAGTAGAAATCGGGCAAAGTCTGTAAAGTCTGTATGGCGTTCAAAACAACAACACAGAATCTTCATCTGCTGCCTTTCTGCCGGCCGATTACGTTGCGCAGATACTGCATTATTTCGGCCATCAATTCGACGTTAGGTTAGGTTAGCAGGATCTGCTCGATTTCTGACGTGAATCTAATATTTGATTCTATTAAACAGGTTTTGTTTGCAAACCGACCGCCAAATGTAGCGGCACATGACTATGATTTTGTCATCAAATTTTATCAATTCATTCGTCAATAGGTAGGCATATGGTATGCGGGGTTTATATAATTTCGTATGTTATATACATCCTGTGCATTTTTGTTGCACTTTTAAATTCCTATAAATGCATAAATATCCGCAGTATAATAATTAATACGAGCTATCTTACTATTTCTCTTTTATACAAAGGGCTTACTTGCTAATTGAATCTGGAAGATAGGGACTTCTGGAAGATAGACTTCTTAAGTTAAAAACGATGGAAACTGAGATGTGCAAAGACCGTAGCAATCAAGCCGCAGGTACCTTATTTCAACAATCAAACTCGTGGAATACATATTTTCCCTTTTTTAAATAGCAGCTTATATTTTCTCTTATCTTACGCAAGACTGTTTAGTTAGTTTTTCAGTGAACTTTGAGCAACTTGGTTACAACAATAGCCAATCTCTTGGATTCTTCGCCAAGAGTGGAAGTTCTAATTATTTATGTCCCTCTGGATATAAAAAATCTGAATCGTTTGTCGCAGGTTTAAATTCAAACTTTAGAGAATTACTTTTGTTATAAAAATTATAATTTTGTTTTGTTCGATCTTCTTTGTGAAGAAAGTTAATGTAGTTAGTTTGCGTCCAATGTATTGCAATCCCAAACTTTTAATGAGTAAAATTTTGAGACGCGAAGGAACCTTTTTATTGTGCTATAACATATTTCTACGTTGATATTACTCAATAACAAATAATATCAGAAATCTCAGTTTTCCTTTTTTAAATTGAAGCATATAATATGCCTACTTGAAAATTATCAAGATAAATATTTTTCAACAAAGGAGTTTCAACAAAGGAGATCAAAAGATACTTACACGATAACAATACAATAGTCATTTTTCTTAATAAATGGAAAAGGAATACAATAGTCTGACATCTGGGTAGTTTTACGAGCAAATTTTCAAAGAATGCTGGAAATATTATAGCAAATGTTACACAATTGTGGAAATATTATGGCAAATGTTACACAATTGTGGAAATATTAAACGAATATTATTAATTTGCATAAAGATGTACGAGAATTTGGATAAAATTATATAAATTACCCACATTTTTTTAAATTGATAAATAATGACTCTTGCAACTGAAATTTAAATCCGACTAATTTACGTCTTTTTTAACAGCTTCTTCATTTTTAACTAAATCAAATTTATCATCCCCCATCTTCCATTTCTATTTAACCACTTCTATTTAACGTTACGTTAACATATCATCTCATCTGCAACATTTTCTCAAATCAATCTATGCTATCGAACTCTGTTTTTTAACATCGTGGTCATGAAAGGGAATTCAAAGGATTCGCTTGATATTATTTTGTCACTGTTTCCTCTACATACAGTCTACAATTGTACGAAATTTGAAAACGGAAATTGAAGTATTTAAAAACATTATGGTAAATATTGTTCGGTCTTTAATGGATTAAAATTATTGAAAATATTCTGCTAATACAACAAAAATATCCCGGAAATATACTTGATATACGTATACTATTTCGCGATTTAGATTATAAATAGATCGATGCAATATCTTATAACCTCTATATGTGTATAGTTCTGCAATTCTAGCAATATAATCGTGACCAATGAAATTTCAGAATATCCAGTGTAACATGGATAATATACATATCTATAAAAATTTTCGATAAATATTCTAACATTTTCCCAATCTATGTTAAAAATAATCGAATTATAATGGACAAAACAAGCAATAATATCGAATGATCTCAACAAATTTCTCGGGCATTACGAACACAATGGTTTTTTGTTTGCTTTAAATTATCCATTTGTGGAAACTTTCAGTTCTTTTCCAAGCTTTGTCGATTTCTTAACACCGGTTGCAAAGAGAACAAAAAACGAGAGAGCAAGTAAGCGCCTATACATAGATTCATCAACGCGGGGCAGAAAGGCAATTACAGACAACGTACCGTGCCGAAGAATGCCGAAGATCGGCTCGGGCCTTATCCCGGTGATTCGGGCGATCTCGTTGGGTCGAGTGTTGACTCGTAACGCCGCATTGGCGCTCCATCATAACTCGGCCGTCCTGGATGATAAAAGACCGTTGTCATTTCCACTGATCAGTTATTGTTCGGCACGCGGCACGCAGAAGAACATATTCCTTTCGAAGAAGACAAATAATACGCTGGCTTTTCATCGACTATTATTTAGAAGATACTGTTGCAAGAAAGAGACAGAAGACGACAAAATGTCCAGGATGAACAGAGGCCCGGCTGCCGAACAGTTGACTGAATACAAGAAAAATGTACAGGTAAATCATGCGTGGTCGTAGTAACATCAAGGATATAAGTACACTACAGATATTTATGCAATCTCATATTTCTACGAAATTATAGAGAAAAATAGAGTTTAAACTTATTTACTTGCTTATTGTTTACTTACTTATCGTTTATTACTTACGAGTAACTTTGCTTTGCATATCCTATATATTTGAAATATTATTTTTTGCGCCATGCATTACATTATCCATAAATGTATGCAAGTCTGGATACAATGATGTAGAGTCATTCAGGAAACGAAGTTTACGCGTTTCAAGTTTGATAAAATAAATAGATATCCAAGAGTAGTATGAAGTAATTCACTTCCTACGTTTGTCTCTGGGAATCGCTGTATTAACTAATGTTTCGCATTTGGATATTTGAATGTAAAACTCGCTGTATCGTAGAGATTAGTTTATGTATTGCAGTTGTATAGTTATTGTTAAACATACAACACGTACGCTCAGTTTATCTGTCACTTCGGTTCAACGTTACCATGCAACAGACTTTGATCGATGTGACAGATACAAAAAATAGCTGCAGTGTTCATCTGTAGTTTGGTAAAGCGTAGGTGGGCGATTCGAACTTTAATGAATTCGTTCTGTTGCAATGACAAACCGAAGTTCGGAGGTAAATTAATATTGTTCAAAGGTAAAGCTTTTTTAAAAATTGTAATACGTTGAGTTGACCAATAATGTTGGTAAAAAGTAATGATAATGATAATGGGTACCATGAACTTTGAGCAATAGGTTCAAGGTTTACTTCCTCTAAAAGAGCAAGTCAAGCTGCGTTTTTTAGTGAATATCATTATCACCATAAGAATTCTGCGACGTCTTCACTTATAATTATTACTTAAAAGTATACTTATTTAAATATCTGTGATATTATAGCGTTTCTTTACTCTATTGCAGATATGGTTATCATTTATGGTCGTCATTAGTATATTTTGTAATAAAAGTTGCGTGGCAATTTATTAACAAATAGATTTATTTTTCCAAATAATAATAATCGATTATTGCAGACCACTGCAACGTCTACGAAACGTTGACCCAATGTACAAGCGCAAAGTACAAGCGCAAAGTGCAAATATGATTCGAAAAACCAATATCACAACGTTCAGTAATTTGTTTTAAAAATTCAAAGTTCTTACTAGCTAAAAATTGAAATTTTTCTTAAAGTTTTCTTCAAATTAAAGATTTTGCCACTTATACTATTTTAAGTCCAAGTGATTTTAATTATGATTATAAATATTCTCGCCCCAATGTTTGATTTTAGCGTTTCTTGTGTTAGTACATTACGAATATAGGCGAGTATAAATATTAATTATAAAATTGAATGTTATATTTCCATTTGATCAACATGTTGCACATAATTCGTTCGTTATGTCGATATTATATAGGATGGGGTGGTAACCGTTGTACAACCGGCCAGAGGGTGATTTTGCATGATTATCGTTCCATCCTGTCCATTTGACGACTCACGATAACGACGATTCGTATGTAATCTTGCGTAAGGGTGACTTCTTATTCATCGAGTAGTTTCCATTTTTACGTTTCGTATCAGAAATCGGAATGTCGTTGGCGTTTTCTACTTATGATAAAGTACATCGTGCTATCGATTTTTTCTAATGCGCTAATTTTTTTATAAGAAACGTTCAAATTCGATAGGTCAAAGCGTGCATGAAACATTCACGGACAGCAATCCGCAAAGATCGCTGAAGTTACATGACCGTCACCCTTGAACTAATAATTTTCAATAGATTTGCTTGAAGTTTAAACTTCCATCAGACGAAGTTTATTTGATTATTCGAAGATACCGAGTCAAAGATACGTTGCTGTAATCGTTGATTAACGAGGTTTCATTACAAAATTTGTAGTATTTAGTCAATGATTCTTCCAGCATTGAATTTTCGTTTAACCTGCGAGGAAAATTGCTTTTTATTTGATCGTCAATAATAAAAACACAATGTTTCAGATCGTTTTGTAAAGAATACGTAAGACACTAAAATTCGAGATACCAGTTTTATTGTGTTCTTCGTTAATAATTTATTAAAGTGCAATGTTTTGCATGTGTTAGAGACATTTTTAGAGTCGTGGGAAGTGAAAATGCACGAACATGTACAAAAGGTATATAATATGCAAAAATATGCAAGATATCTAAAGTAAAGTGCTCGTTGTAATACTCGGAGGGTAGGCCAAATTTCTATTTGGATGAAAACATAAATTTGCATAAGTATTTACGCTCTAAATATTATTCTTTACAATTCAATTTTTTGTTTCGTACTCTGAATCAAAGCTCTCTCGAAAAATAAATATAGTGGCGGAGGAAAGAGAGTTTAAGAAACTCTTACTAACGTGGTAAAACGTGTTAGTTTAAAAGAAGCTAATATTCATAGACAGACGCTGATATTAAATTTTCTTTAAATCATCGCTGCAGCAATTTAACGAGTTCTTTTCCTAGGTCTTAGTATTTCATGATTGATTATACATAATCTTGCTTGAAACGATCATTCTGAATGGTCGTGAATTGCCATGAACTTACCATGAGTTACCGAAGTAGGGAAATCTGATTTCACGTGAATGACATCATCTTGCATGTGAAATACTGTATCCTCAATGTAGATATATGACAACGTAAAATTCTGTGTGACGTAACATATTTGATAGTACGCTCATACTCTACTTATATAGTTTAAGTCAGAAGGCTGAATAGATTTTTGTGACAGTCGATACCACGTACGACGACGACGTAATTTTCTGATAATAATACGAAAAGGTTATTCAATTAGAAGTTATTCAATTAGGAGAGTTTATCGAAATAATTGATTAAAAAATATCGAAGATCTTTAATTTTTGATAGTTTCGATGGTATCTAGGAAACGTTATTCGTATAAAGTTTAATTTAAAAATAATGCAAAATTTTTGTACGCATTACAAATTTAAGTTGTACTTCTTAATCTATATTATAGCGGTCGTCACGTGTTTAGTAAATGGCTAGACTTATAAACTTCCACTCCCCCCCCCCACTCGATTTTAAATTCGTGTTATATAAATCACATTTCTATAAGTGTATATCATAATATATATATAGCGAAATAAGGAGTTTTAGTACTATGTCAACATAGTAATTTTTAACGTAAAAGATAACTCAAATTAATCTGCTAATGATAACTTACTAGATTGCAATATTCAATCAACTGTGTCTTTCAACTGAACGTAAATATTCTTTTATCTACTGATACCTCAGAATAAAATTTATTTTCGGAAATCTTTCTAAAAGAAGGGAAGGAATTGACAATCTCGCGTTTGATTTTTTTTTTCGGCACCAGATACAAAACAAAAGATTCAACAATAAAAGACGCGAATCTGAAGTGTGATACTAGTAATTCAAAATTTTAGATACGATTTATATTGTTTCTTGAATTTTTGTATTTCTTTGTTAGAAACCGCGATAAATATTAAAAGCAGGAGGGCTGAATGCTGTCTATTTACCATTCTAATATATAATGCTGTAAAAAAGTAACAATAACAGGCAATAATATGAACAATAATAATAATTTCTCTTCGAAACGCTCGATGTGCTCGCTCTGTTCGAGCAATTCGCGTGCTATCTTTCACTATCAAAATGAAACTAAGTTAGAATAACAAGGTTCAATAGATTACCTGTTTCACCATGAACGTCGCGATAATAAATTCACACGCGTCTTGCAACGAATGACTAATCGTTACAAATTTCTTTTATTGTATCTTAGAAAATTGATAAACAGGATTTGCTTGATGATAACGCGCGTGGAATCATCCTGAGTTATGAATCGGAAGAATATCTATATAATCGAAATAAATGCATAATATGCTTTTCGATATCTCTCGTTATGAGGAATTTTATGAGTTTATCTACAACCTGTAGTATTTGAACGATGATAACGTAATTTTATTGATTATCTATTTTAATTGTGATTCTTAAGATCTATCTTACGCAATAATCATTCTGCAACTCATAAGTAAAGTTTTTTAAACATGTATTGGATTTTTTAATATTACGTGATTAGTCAATAATAAATAATAAAGGAATTAAATGATTATTTACTAGGATAATAATATTAAATTAAAAATGTTAAATAATATTAGGCTACCAGTCATGCTATTTACAGTAATATTAAGCACGATATCGTTAGATATAGTGGCAGCGATATTTATCAGTATTATGGTACTTTTATTTATATAAAAGAGAAATAATTTTGTGAGTACTTGTAATGTATATCTATATTGCTCCATATTGCGTATGCAATTATGTAGGTATATATATGTATACGATTGATGGTGGACGAAATGCAGAAAATAGGACGATGGCAATTAAAGTAAGAGTTATTACTGATAATTGCTTGTGAAAGATAAGAACGTTTCTATAGGTATATATTTGAATAGTGGCACATATTAATTGCCAAGCGATAAGCTGTCAGGCAATTCATCAAGCTCATGAAAAAAAGAACCATTACAAATGTAAAAAATTCAAGAAATATTCAAATAGTTCGAGCAAATTCTGCGGAATTTTAAAAAAATTGCCAATTAATTAGCTGCATATGTAAACCACGCTAATATTTGACACATTTTTTAATTAAAGTCTAAGAACAAATTTTAAATAAAAGTATGAACTCTATTTTACCATAATTAAAAACTTAAATTTACGTTGAAAATGTTATTGATATATGGCGACCAAAGTCCGATAATTTTTTCATTCAAGCGAATTGTATTGAGGTAGAATGGTGTCGTTTTTTTGGGGTAACGACAAGAATTCATGTTAACGTGTTTCGATCTTTATTTTCCTTTTAATCAGATTTACATTTTACTGCAAAATACCAGTACAGATCGATATTTCGTAGCTGTGTTTATCAGATGGGCACACGAGCACATGTCGCGTGTTATTGTTCTAGAAAACTGGAATTGTTATATAAAAAAAGTTCATGTCGCAATTCGTCACGAAATCGATTCGAATA